TTATTCAATAGATTTGAATGTGCACATTGTCGACGTTCCTAATAGAACCCAACACGCGCACGGTTAAGTCCCTTAAGCGCACACTTATGCAATGCTTAGCACTATGATCAAGTTAAGTAATCTTGTCCCAACTCCTAAGTAAGTGCCGTGAGGAAATTTCAAAGGGATGAGTTTGGATGCAAGTGGTAGCCATGAGTCACCTACTAGCTTGCACACATTGCACCACACGGATGCACGGGCGATGACTAAGCCCGTGCATGCACGCCACATCGACAGGTGACTAAGCTAAATGCCCAACACCTCAGCCACAACCTGGACATGTGGCAGCAAGGGAAACAATATCATCTTTCACCTCTTTGACCCAAATTACCCAACGATTTTTACCCACTTTAAATAACCGAGCACGTACATTTTCCCCATGCATTTTCATGCACCAAATGAAGCCAACTTCAGCGTACTAACAGAGGGAAAATAGTGAGGAAATGTTGAAGAAAAATCATACAAAAATTAGTTAAGGAAGGCCATAGCAAAGGAGAAGCACTCGCACACCATCGAGAGCACCGAACACCCGCGCAAGTCATCGTGCGTTTCTCAGCCAAACTGAAGGGTATACATCTATTTACCCTATTTTCATGTATTTAAGTTCATGTTAGCAAGATCGTATCGATATCATGTCATTCGGTCCAAGTTTTTAGTGAAAATGGCCTCGGAGGTGCTATATAAGCCCTCTCCGAGTGAATTTAAAATTTAACCGGTAAGTCCCGAACAATCTATGCATATTTAGTCAAGTCAAGTCAAATTATACTCAGTCATATGTGGGTTGCCGGAAAAAGTAGCAGGACGACCGGCGAAAGGTCGACCGTGATGCCTACCGCACACAACGTACGCGTGCGGCATGCCCGGCAGTCCCAGCGGGTACGCTGGCAGCATCTGCGCGCCCAGCAGTGCGCACGCGTAGCCAGTACCCTGCAGCCAAGCCTCGCGCTGCTGCAGTCATGCGCGCAGGCGTGCGCAGAGCACGTCCAACCGCACGGCAGCGAACACCTAGTCCATCCGCGTACACCACAGCGCAGCATGCGTCTAGTAACGTGTCCTGAGACGCCTGTACGCACGCCAGTAGCGTCCCACGCACACTGGCTAGCAGTCACGCACGCCAGCATGCCCAACAGCATGCCAGCGATGCCTAGCGAGCCTCGGCGTTGCCCGGCAGCACGTCCGAGCGCTCAGTCGTCCCAGTACGTGTAGTACATGACCTAGCAGCCTGCCTGAGACGCATAGTAGCGCTCGGCAATGTCCATACACGCCAGTGCCATCACCAGCG